CGAGATATTTTGAATTTTTTCATATTGCAACTTTGGAGCTTTTTAACTCGGAGAGTACTCAATGAAGAAACATTTTATTAGAATGTTTTGGAAAGATCTCGAGGTCAGCTACAAGAATATGTAATAAAAAATAGGGGATGCCGTTTAAAAAAATTGAAATGACTTTCATGTGACTTTCAAATAATTCTTCAAGGTCAAAGTAATGGTACCATCTTATGGTCCCCTCGAAGCCAAACAACTTTTGTCTAAAAAATTTTCTCTCCCGTGCTTGGCTTTCGACATATTCGACTGGATGGATTAAAATGGTCCACCCTGTATATATATATATGTGGCGGTCCGGCAGCTCCCTGTTGTGCGTTCGTTTGTGCGCGGAGTGCAGCAGCCGACACCTCGCGTCGGGAGACGGAAGCAGGTGTTGCAGCCGCGGCAACTTTTCTCGGCCGTGCCGCGAGAGCTCGCGCGTGCCGGTTTCTAGTAGAGTGTGCCCACGGGCGCTCTACAGCAGAACCGTTTTCTCGGTCGTAAAGTGTGCAAGTCAGAGTTCGTCCGTTCGTGCGTTCCGTCCGTCTTGTTCTCTTTCTCGTTCGTCGCGTAGACTGTGCGCTGTAATGTCTCTCACATTACGTTCGTTGTGATACCGTGCTCGGAGGCGGTAAGCACGTCCGAGTGTTCCGTGCTGGGCTCAGCCAGCGAGGCTTAGAGGCCCTTAAGGGCCGCCGATCCGAGGCCGCCCGTTCCGGTGTGCACGTGTCGCACACGTGCTGCGCACGTGATCGTCCGCGTTCCTACACGCGATCCGCAGTACCCGGTTATCTACGTGCAGCCGCGCACCGCGCGTTCGCGGAGACGAGCCTGCATCGTCGTTCCGACATCGTCGTCAGCAAGTCGGCGTGCTCGCGCTGCATCGTGCGACGGCTGGCCAAGCGCGGTCGCCGTCCCTTGCCTCGCGCGTGAGGCGCCTTTGTTCCGCGAGTGTGCGTAGGCATCGCGAGTGAATATTGCAGCTCGGGGCGCATCGCGTCGCCCGTGAGCTCGGTCGCCGCGTGCAGCGGAGGCAGGTGCACATTTTTCCTATTAGGTTTGAGTGTTAGCTATCGGCCGGCCACGTGCGCTGGTCATGCTACCTGCCCTCGCTCACATGCGCGCTTCCGCCGTTGTTCACGTGATCGGCTGAGGGCCGACATCTCAGCCAATCACGAGAGTGTCTTCACGCTTCGTCCTTCACACGTCAGCGTGTCTCTGTTTTGTTTCTTGCGAGCGTTTCTTTTGTATGTGATAAGATTCCTTGTTAGTTATTATCTTTGTAATAAACTCTGACGACGTGTTATTGTTAATACAGAAAAGCGAATCTAGCGTATTGCCAAGGCCTGAGCTCCTTCCCGTCCACAGTGTTTTCCCGAGTTAACATAAATTTATTGTTGTGGTTGACGGGTGTGATAACCACACACACCGCCTTGATTGAGTACACCCCGTCTTACCACATATATATATATATATATATATATGTATATATATAGTAATAAGATGGTGACTATAAATCTGTGCTCATTCTACTATATCTTCATGTTTAGATGAACTATAAATATATGTTTGAGGCCAAAACGAACTATAAAATATAGTGAGATTATAGTTATTCCAACTATTTTTTTCTCTCAGTGTAGTACATAAGCGGTTTGAAGAATTCATCAGAAAATGTAGAAAGAAAATGTAATCTTTGCAGCAGTATTCGATGTCATGATAGTAACTGTTCCTTATCGTTTTCGTCTAATATTGGGCAATGCTCTGCTTCATTTTCGCACGTACTTTCACCATGCAAAAGGGTTTTTAATTCGACGCAGGTAGAAAGAAGTAAACTTTGCAGAAAGATTCGATTTCGTGATAGTAACTGTGCGTTATCGTTTTCGTATCCTATTGATGGATGCTCCGCTTCGTTTTCGCACGTACTTTCACCGTACAAAAAGGTTTTTAATTCGGCGTAGGTAGAAAGAAATAATCTTTGCAGAAGTATTTGATGTTATGATAGTAACTGTTCCTTATTGTTTCCGTTTATATTGGGCAATGCTCCGCTTTATTTTCGCACGTACTTTCACCATGCAAAAGGGTTTTTAATTCGGCGCAGGTAGAAAGAAGTAAACTTTGCAGAAATATTCGATTTCGTGATAGTAACTATGCATTATTTTTTTCATCTCAAATTTTTGGATATGCCGCATCATTTTCGTACGTATTTTCACAATTCAAAATAGTTTTTACTTTGGTGCAATCAGCATGAACCAATACTTTCGCAAAAGTATTCGGTATCATGTCAACAACATTTCCCAACAAATTTTAATTTGTGTTGACTTGACCAAATTAAAAATGCTTTTGTATAATAAAGATACATGCATAAATGAAATAGAGCATTCCCCTTTCAAGGGTGAAAACGATGTGGAACTATTACTATCGTGACACTGATTTTATTTCTCAATAATTATAGTTTACTAACTGCTCCAATTTATATGGTAAAATTACGTGCAAAAATAAAGTGCAACATTGATTAGTGCGAAATAAAAAAAATATCTCAAATTACCGTTGCTAATTATATTGAAATCTCAAATAATAGGTAACGTATTCTTCAAAATATTATTCGCAAACTATGCTTGCGCCTACAACACTCTTTTCTAAAAACTTTTTCTTTAGTGTACCCAGTACAAGCGGTTTGAAGAATTCATCAGAAAAGCAGCAAAAGCCTGTTTTGGAGAAAATGCGAATATCGGCAACGTGGCATACACACTTATGTAATGTGTAAGAAAATTGAAATGATAACGTAGCACATACATTTGCATAACATTTGTGAAAGGATGTTAGCGGTATTATGTTAGCGCTTATTTGACGATCGTCTCTATACAGGGTGTTCGGAAAGTA